AGCCGATCTTTACTGTACTTTATTTAATTTATTGCTCGTTGATGTGAAAGATGTAGCACTTTATATTATAATATTATCTCACTAGGCTAAATTAAACCGAGTATGTGATTTTTAACTATTTGTATTTTGTTTCATTGCTTTCGAACGATCCCGCATTTCCAGAACCTTTGAAAATATTCAAAACAAATTTGAGCCGTGTCACGACAAAACCAACATAATGGGTTTGCTACCAGCATGGATCCAGACCAGCCTGCGCATCCGCGCAGTCTGATCAGGATCCATGCTATTCGCTATCAGTTTCATTACTTGCTGTAGGGTTTGTAAGCGAACAGCATGGATCCTGATCAGACTGCGCGGATGCGCAGGCTGGTCTGGATCCATGCTGGTCGCAAACTCATTATGTTGGTTTTGTCATGGCGCGGCTCTTTTACAATGGACATAATGTATTAGAGTTTACAACGTATATAAATCATTTACCATATTAAATAATAAGCACTGTTAACAATACTTTATTTTTTTTGTCCACCAAACATGTTAAAATGCACTTATCTATATCAACAACTACGAACATTCATATGTTTAAATTGTAAAACAGTCGTTAAAATGTGATCATATTGTAAAATTGCTATATATTGTTGTATCTATTGGTTTTTATTCCAAATATGAATAATATTATAACAAAAGTCAATTCCGCTAATGGAATCAAAGCTCGCTTTATTGTTATAACATTTTGTGAACGAAGCATATCTCATACTTTCTGAATATGATACACTAGTAGTGATTTGTTTATTCATTTATATGAATATGCGATTCTCTTTGATGTTAAAATTTGTTTGAAAATGTTTCACAAATTCTTTACGTGATTAATTATATGACTTTTTATTACAGTATTGCGATTTTTTTAAAGATATGCTATGCTTAAATTTGATATTTGATAATATTAATAATTGCTACACAGTCTCTGTGTAAATATAAACATGTTTGGACTTCAAACAAAATGTAGATATCCTGTGATTAAAATTCTACATACTATAGGTGGTCATAGTATGAATATGTAGTGTCATTAAATAACTGGCAGTTTGTTTATTTAATCAAAGGACAAACTACTTGAATGCAGCTTGCCACACTTAGTTCATTATTTTATTCAAATTAGACATATTCAATAAGAATTTCATAGATTTAAATAAATTTCTGTGATTAAAATATTTTACTCAAGGATGTTCACATCATATATCTTAAAATGATAATTTAGGAGGAAAAATCAAGTCATATACAACATTGCCTATCTTTAAACTACTTACAGATTTAGAACTTGTTTCCACGTTTAAAAAATATCCGTGCTATCCGTTCTATCAAAACAAAACACTATTGCTAACACACATTTTGCAATGAAGGCCAATAAATGTATTAGAATTTTTCAAGCACTACTGATGTATCGGTTAGCCTGAAAAGATGCATACCTGTACAACACGTAAAGTTCTTACTAATTATCCATAAAACAATGTATTCCTACTGCCGTAATTTTTGCTGTTAAAATGCCTCCTCTCTGTCTATTTTATATATAGCATTAGTGCTGAACAATAACACTTTTTTATACCTCTCATTAAAAGAACGTAATCAGTAAAATATTTATTCATCGTTCAGTTTCCGGATGTTACTAAATGATAATGATACTGAAAGGCAATCTTTCAGCCAATCAGTTACTAATTTGCCCATCAGTTCAAAACTAATAATTCCATTAAGTATGGGATTATACGTATGTGGTTCCGCGAAACAGGACTTACAATTTATTTTCCCAAAAATAATTATACAAAATAATCCTTTGCAAAAGAATGCTTTGAACGAAACGTACGTAATATATGCCAATTAATTCCGCGTGCACACATTGTCTTCTTTATTGTTAAACCATGTGTGATAATGAAGAAAATTGCAATGAAATATGCAGCCCGTACATCATCTATATTTTTGTTTTCTACTACAATATGACACCTCAATTACATTAATTATAGAATAAGAATTGAATTACAAATTAAGAACAAGAAACTATGTTTGACCCCTTAAAAAAGGAAACTTTTAGTATAAATCTGTATAAGAACATGTGCTGGTATGTTCATCCGCCAATGACGTCATTTACTTAAATTAATTTAATATATGTTGTAATATTTGTCTTTATCGGAATATCCGTCCCTCAGGTACCTGCTCATCGGGCGATAACAAATCAATTTAAATAGTTTTACTCATATACATAATTTATAACATGTCATCAAGTACATTTCATGTTTAAGAAGAAAACTTGAAACCTGCCTTGATAGAAACCCTCAACGTTAATGAACACATTCACATAAAAATGCATATATACAAGTTTACATTGAGGGAACATTATTTGTCAGAAAAAAGTTTTTTTCGTAAAGTCACAAACGAAAAAAAATAAGATCAGAAAGAAAGAAAGAAAAAGGTGTTAGTTGCTTAAGGTACGTTTGGACCTCAGTGTTTAATAATTTGAGTGTGATATGAAATGTTCTTGTTTGTTGTATAAAAGTGTGACCTTATCCATAAGTTTAATTTTTTTGTGGAAATAGTTGTATCGTAAGGTTTGCAATCGAATTCATAGTCTTGAATAGATGTGTTTTTTTTTTTTTTTCAAAAGAAAAAAGCTATCGAAATAGTAATGCTGTGTGGTTTTTATATCCCCACATACGCAAAGGGGCTGCCAATAACGTTTTATGAGCAAAGGTGTTCATTAAATGTGCTGCAATGGTTTGAACGGCGTCTATGGTAAGGAACAAATCCAATAGACATTCTTCTACTGTTAAATTTTTAATGGGCTGGTATTCATATTTAAAAGTGTTGCTATCGGGGGAATGCTGCAGAATGCGGAAACATAAATTTTTAGCATTTGGCACCTGTGACTTTTAACTATCAGTAATATCTTTCCAATTTTCAGGGTTTTCGGATCTTGTCAGCAATGATACTACATCGTAATCTTCTTGCCAATTACATTTTTTTCCAGTTGAGTTAAGACTAATTATACAAGCAGGTTATCCGTTTGAATGTTGCCAAAACGTGTGGTTTGGAGCAGGATGTACTTTTTTAATTTTATTATTTGAAGAATGCTCTCATACAAAATTAAGCGCAACCCCTTATTTGTCTGAAATTATTACATGCATTATCATTTACCTACAAAATCAGTTTATGTTCTTTTTTATGGCGAGTAAAAAATAATGGTGTTAGCATCTGAAACTCATATCCTTTCTTTTTGTTTATTTTCTATTACATTGATTTCCTTACAATAATAATTAAGAGAGTATTTTCTATTACAATGATATCCTAACAACAGTAATTAAGAGATAAAATTCTCTTAAATCAGTTCAGACAAGAATGTTAAAGCAATTAAATTAGCTTAAAAACCACATTTTATTCATATATATAATGTTACCATATCCAAAAGACGTCTGCGTATATACAAGTATAACAAATACAAAAAGAAAAAGTCTCATCAGCAGACTGGACTGCTGCGACAGTTTATATTGTACCGCAGAAAAATGATTAGAACTGTGCGTCCGAAACAATCATTGATATGATTTGTGTTGTAGAATTTTCCCATGAAACGCACACAGATTTGTACTTAAGTATCTCAATGACATGGTATCCAAATAACTGATTGCTTTATTTATAATTAATTTTTATCTGATTTTTAATGACATCGTACTCATAAATGCATAGATAGTGTATTTGTTGGGAATATGCACTTAAAAACGACGGCATAGGAGCAACACTGAACAGAAGTTAAAGTTTAATCGCCATATTGATATAGACAGGCAATTACCAAGATATTCTTTTTAAGAGAATATAAAAATAGAAGATTGTTTAAACACAAATGTATTTGAAAAGATTAAAGTGGTCCACTCCTCATAAGTATGCCAACTCAAACATCTATCTTGAACTTATGTTCGAAGAGTTAACCTCTGATGATAAATACAGACGTATATTTCCTAACATGTGGTTCTAGATATCTGCCACGTGCTCCACTAACTATATAAATACATTTGTATATAATACAAAGTCCAGGTTATGTTTTCATATGTGCTTTGGCCATCGGTTATTGATATTAAATTTTCAACTTCTGAATGACTACAATGTAATTACTTTATTTGAAAATATGAAAATTCAATTTTTGAACTTATTTATTTTTGTATCCTTCTAAATATTTGTAATTGCTCATGTGTTTAAATATGTTTTCGTTTCTATATCTTATAATGTTTAAGGGAAGGACAGTTGCTAATGTTGCTAGAACATGTTGTTTAACATTTGTGCCCTTGTTAAAAATGTTGTTTTGTGAAAATAATGTTCTTAAATTGTATTCAAAGAGTAATAAAATATTATTAAACTAACTATAAGTGAAGCATGGACATTTGAATAATAAGAAGGGACTAGAAAGAAGATTTCTTTGAAATACTGATATTTTGTTGTTTGATCTCAAATGTGTCCAAATTCCATCATTTCCTCCTTTTTCATTTTTTTGTTATTTTATTTGAATTTATTTGTTTTATTCAAAATGTGCAAAACATCAAATTACACAAGAAATCTAAAATGAAAACTAATCTGAATCGACTTTTTTTACAAAACGATTTGTTTACGAAAAAATATATTGCTCTTTATAAATATTATGAACACTATTTTTTATTTCATATACATATTCATTTGTCATAGTTAATTGTTGTACTATTATATTAAATTTGTGTTCACGTTTATTGAAAATAAACTAAGATCTTTCAGTACACGTTCTTCATATCTTAATAAAGTCTCCATAATTATTCTTATCTCGTTTCAAATCCTAAATAGGACGTTCTTTAGTCATTACAATGCTATGTTAGTCTATGCATATTATCATTCAACAATATGTTAGTAAAGTTAATATATCTATCAATCATTGTTTTATATACAAAACTATAGAAGCTCATAATACGAAATATGACTTTAATTGAAGATGTTTAATTTACCTTTCACCCTCCCCTCCGCAGACAGGTAAATACTGATATTTGTATCCAATTTCCTGTTTCGACACAACTTCACATATAAGCGTAACTAGAAGGTCTAGAACAAATACGTGCGTACATCCTACTTTTATAGACAGACTCCAGTAATTATATTTGCCAGACTGACTATTATATAGGGAGAATATGATTTCTCTATTTCCGATATATTTATTTACAGAACTGAGTATTCGCCTAGTTCAGCAATACGATCAGATCCATCAATAAACAATGCATTCGCCCTGTCAGTCATAGACATTTTACAAATTAGAAGCGAACAAGTTTGGTTTTCATTTGTTTTCATTTCATTTACATATTAAGCGATTTTGCAATTTCTATGTAATGCTGATTCATTTGTTGTTTTTCCCTAATTACTCGAGGCGTTGGCTTCTGGTAAAGTCCCTCATGCAAATGTATGCAAATTATTATACACATTTCAATACATACTCGTATCATATTAAAGAACCGAATCATTCATTTCTTCGTTTAACCATTGGTTCAAATTAAAAGAATAGATTATTTACTTTCCACTAATATCTTTTACATAATCTCTCTAAGAAAATTTCATAATATAAAATATATCATAGAACGTTTAACTGATGCAAAAATTGTAACTTTTCCCTCGAATAAATGAATATTTTAGATTTAGTAATGTAAATCATTTAAGACTGACTTGATCTTTCTCTAATGGAATAAATGCTTAATGGTTAAATGGACATAATCATTTTGATTTGGCAATTTCATATGCAACAAAAAGCAGAATTATTGTTAATAACCTATTGTTTCACGCGTTGAGCCATACCATTAGAGTGAATTTGCATATTATTTCTGGTGTTTGTAACTTTTGTATTAATGATTTTATAACTATGCTTCTATGTATAACTATAAACTTTCAATTCGTTAGTTGCGGGAGGCTTTTCAATAAAATGAAGATCTGCACGAATGTTTAACGAATAATAATGTAACGATTTAATCCATCCATGACATAGTCCATAAAGTTACAACGTATATTTAAAAGGATGAAAGACTTTTACCGTCTTTTTTCAATATTGAACTGAAATACGGATATAAGCAATTTTATAAAAAAAAATATAGCTTTTCCTTTTGTTTTTGCATTATAACGTCCCAAGATATTTCCAGACTTTGGCATTGCTTTTAAAAAAATATATTTCTATCCGTTTCAAAAGCAGCGTGGCATGGTGAAGAAAATAAGCATATGTTTTTAGTGATAAACGAAAAAGAAGGAAAGGAAACGAATTGTCATATCCAGGTCATAGACTCTCATTTTTTTGCACCAGTATCAATAAATCTTAAATTCCAAGAGGAGTCGCTGGTAATGTTTTCACCGTAGGGAACGTGTTACAGTATCGCGTTTTCCGGTTACAGTATAGAATTTTAAAGATGGTGGATTATTTGTTGGGAGGACAGGTAGGTGATTTTTATTCCGGTCCATACTACAAGTAGTTTAGTTTCTAAAAGATGTTTTTGTGCTTTGCTTGTAAGGAACAAAATCCGGTATCTAGTCATATATTTCTTCAGACCCTGCACCGCAGATTTATCTCTATATTGTCTCATACATATGCAGATTTGACAGTTTGAAAATTTGAATCGAGAGACCAACGCATTTTTCTCCAATTTCGACATTATTTATGCATGCCTAGAAAAAGTAAATCTGCAAAACGTTAGTCCTTTATGTTAGGAAACGTTTATAAAATTAAATGACCAGTTGAACCTATTTTCCTGTTCGTTAAATGCGTTTGAAAAATAAACAATGTTACAGTATACAGCGAGGTGATTTGAGCAGGGGTACAGCATAGACCTTGCGATTTTTATCCGATTTTGTTACAGTTTATACCCAGATTTCGGTTACAGTTTAGACTTCGATATTTCCTATATATACTAGGTAAAATGTATGAATGTTACATAGACTTTTAAATCGCTGTGAGCTTATTGGCCGATTGCTATTCGTCCGTCTGTCGTACACATGTGTGTGCAATCTTATCCGCTCAGTAACTACTTGACTAAATGTGATGAAATTTACATGACTTTCTACCAATTAAGTTGTTCAAATGGTTTCGGTTGCGATCGGGGATACGAAAACCCAAAACATAGATTTTGAAAAAAGGCAATGTTTAAAGACCCTTCTCATCTCGAACCAAAAGCATTCAAATGAAATGCTTCTTTGTTGAAGTTACGATTTTTTTGTCATCATTAAATTAAAAGTCATTTTTTTTATTTAAGACATCCTGTATAGAAGTTTTCATGTTTCTGAAAAAGAAAATAATATTCAAAGTTAGAGTATAAATTAAGGTCAGACAATTGCAATATCTTCTCTAGTGAGCCTGATGGAGGTACATAATAGTGGCAGAGTAGGGATAAGGTCGTCGAATTCAAATCAAATATTTATTTACTGCTGTGGTTGAAATCCCATCATGACTTTGGATTCTTTGTATGTGAGGAATCTATGAAGCTAATTTACGGAAGGTCGGTGGTTCTAGTCAGGTGCCCGCTCGTGTCTGAAATGTTTCACAAAGGTTATCTGGGGTCTTTCTTTACACTAAAGCAGGAATGTTTTCACATGACCTCAGTGTCGTTGAAACTTAAAATCCAGGAAAGCCAAACGTAACAAACCCTTTTTAATTACTTACAAAATACATTATTGTAGATGGAAACTCCAACATAAAATAAAATTAATGTTGCAGTATTGCTCTCTTAAATACTGTTTAATCATCCTTAGGGTCTTGCCTGTTTGTTAATTGTGTCTTTTGACAGCTTATCTGTGGTATGCAGGCTTCATTATCTCCATATGAACACATCCACAGATGTTAAAAAATCTAAAATGTACCAGTTCGTGTTAAATGTGAATTCTGCTGAAGCCGGTGTTAGGAGGCGTGTACGGTAGCTTGCAGTTACCACTACCGTCCATGAACAGGTTTAATCAAACTAAGCCTGCAACATTTTCATGTTTTCCGTGTTGGACTTCTTTTAAGGATTCTTTTTTCTCTATTTTATTACTAATAGGCATTATTATAATGTGTAATCATAATGAAATCAAGCAATAACCTTTCTTCTCTCAAAACAATTTGATAAAAGTTACTGTTGTTGTCGTGAAAACAGTCCTTAATTAGGACAAAACTTATGCTGCAAAAAGTCTCAATCTGAAACTTAAAGTAAGGAAAATAGCAAACTATAACTTTTCTGCTGAAGAAAAAAAGTAATGCAACCTTTCAAGAATGTATTAAATAGAAAGGTATGAGTAAAAATTTCATAAAAATAATTGATACACGAACTTTGTTTAAAATTTATTAAGTATCTAAACTGTAACCGAAATCTGGGTATAAACTGTAACAAAATTGAATCAAAGTCGCTAGGTCTATGCTGTAACCCTGCAAAATTAACCTCGCTCTATACTGTAACATTGTTTATTTTTTCAAACGCATTTTACCAACAGGAAAACAGGTTCAGCTGGTCATTTACTTTTATAAACGTTTCTAAACACAAAGGACTAACGTTTTGTAGATTTACTTTATCTAGGCATGCTTTAATAATGTCGGAATGGAAGAAAAATGCGTTGGTCTCTCGATTCAAATTTTTAAACCGTCAAATCTGCACATTTATGCGACAATATAGAGATAAATCTGCGGTGAAGGGTCTGAAGAAATATATGACTAGATACCGGATTCTGTCCCTTGCAAGGAAAGCACAAAAACATCTTTTAGAAACTAAACTACTTGTAGTATGGACCTGAAAAAGAATCACCTACCTCTCTTCCCATAAATAATCCTCCATCTTGAAAATTCTATACTGTAACCGAAAAACGCGATACTGTAACACGTTCCCTACGGTGGTTTTGTTACAACATAACTTGTGGTTCAGGCTATATCCATATCGGATATACAGGGTATTTGTTTATTTGTTCTTAATATGATGTTCACTCCCCAATTAACCATCATTAATGCAGTTATCATAAATTCTAACACAAACCCTTTTTTCCCTTCTGAACATAGAGGGATCGAATGTGCGTGTAAATATAATGACGATCTATAAGTAGACATGTGACGTAAGGTTCCATGCGTTGAAAATAGTACCGAAATTTAGCTTGCTATCAGGTAGGGCACCACTTTTTGTTGATGTCGTGTTACAAGCGAAAAAATATATCCAAGCCCTCTTGATATAATTCTTCGCATGAGAACTCCAAACAATGATTTGACTTAACGTAGTTAGCGACAAATCACTGTTGGAGATAATGTTATGTCATTTCTCTTACAAACTGAGGTCAAATATATCATTTTGAACACATTATAAAAAATGTTATGTAAGTCCTTTAGGATCCATTATTTTATAGAGATATATATTTATATTTTGTTTAATAACAATTAGTTTGAAATTCAATTAATACATTCTGAGACATGTTAGCAACATACCCAATACAGATATTGATCAATGATGAAACTTAGATCGATAAAACTTATCAATTTAGCCCAGTTCACTTGGTTATTCAATCAGGATATGGTCCACTATTGAATCTCTTGAAATATGAATTCAAGGAATAATTGGGTATCCTTTTACATAGAGAACTGCTCTTGATGACATGTGGGAATATTTATGTAACCTCCGAGCAAAAACTGATATACCTTAGATAAACCCTAAAACTGTCCGAAATATGAATAAACAACCAAGAGTAAATTATCAGAGTAATTAAATGGGCAGCGTTGTTTAAATTTTCGATATTTTCTTCCAATAAATACATCATGTTTTACTATTCGTCCACACGATACTGAAAGTTCAAGCAAGTACATCATTCAATTTCCTTCTATCAAAGCTCAATGACAATAGTTTGTTTGGTAGTTTATAAGGCTGGCCATTTTGTATTTTTCCTCTATTTCCAGTATAATGACATGCGGTATAGAGTTTTCCAGCCTACTCAGTTATTCTGTATGACATAAATAAACACTAGTAGCATTGCCTTGTCAATCATAGACTTATTTATAAATTCGAAACAAATAAGCTTTATTTTTCAATTCATGTACATATTCTATGATAGTTTGCACGTTTGCGTTTATTTCATTTATTATTTAATTCATACATTCAAAAGATAATCAAGATATTTCCAGGAACAAATCGCTGTATACAAAAACAAGATGAATGTTTTGATGTGCTCATAATGACATACTTGCAGAACGGTATAAAC